ACATAAATTCCTTGAGCAATCAAACGACAAGTACTGAATAACAGACTCCTGACTTGGGACAGGCACACGCATGTTGCGAGTGCCTTATTCTTTCCTAAACTGGGACAGTGGTTGAACAGCACAACATATGAACAAATTATGAAAATCAGTTAAAATACGTTTTTCTGAGGTCAGAGGTGAGGTAGTAGTATATCGTCTTTTTAAAATAAACGCAGTTGCATTAATCCAAAAAACAAGTACATCTAAGACAAAATGAATAGAAAGTGATAAATCATTTTGCATTATGTTTTTATAGACAATATAATACAAATGAATCTTTACATGCAAACAAAAATTTACTGTGCAACCATGCTTTTTATCTTTTCTTTCTCATATGTATTCAATTTAAACATTTGTATGTTATGCTTTCAAATAACAAACTTCTTATTCTACCGCTAATTTTCTTTTTCCATTCAATGAGCATTTGTCTTGAGTATTCTTAGATGCCACATGAACTTGGAAAAGTGAGGCGAAAAATGAACATTCAAACTCAAAAGTCGAAACAAAACCGACAATACCAATGGCAAAAACATAAAACAACCAAATGACCAACTACAGTATACGAAACACAACATAGACAATAAAAACTGAACAAAACACGACGCCAGCTAAAAGCCGAGGATTATCTCAGGTACTCCCACAATAAAGATCAATCCAGCAAAGTTATCAAGAAGAACGACTGACATTATCACATAAAAAACTACTGTAGTCACCATTGCTTACTAATGGATCTTATAAAGTCCACTTTTAAAAACTCACAAGTACCTTCCAAACTATGCTTAAGACGCGGAAAAGGGTTTGCTCATTGTTCAAGGTATTACGGTGACAAATAGGTGTTTATATTTTCGTCATTTGGTCTCCTCTCGATAGTCGTCTCATAGGCAATCACACATCATCTCCTTATTTTATATTTAGGTGGTTGATACAAGATGTGTTTTAAAATTTGAGTATACATATCAAGAAATTCCAGGGCCCTCGTGATACCAAATTTCACTCTAATCCGAGTGTGTGTTTCTGAATCTGAAAAACTGTGGTTAATGTCATTGTTCGTACCCCGATATAAAAACAACGTTATTTGTTGAATTTTCTTAGGTTAGTACGTTTTATACCAATGCAATTATTTTGGTCTATACTTTTGAAAACATTACACAGAATGTTTTCATATGTTTCCGATTGTTTTTCATTCATTCCAAAATGTTGCTGAAAAGAAATAACCGAAAGACAAACATTCGTGTATTTTTTAGCTGAGCGATAGATTGGTAAGTTGTTTGACAATCACTGGCAGTCATTTTTATCTTATTCCGGATCAAAATAAATTAAACAGTAAAAAGTTGAACATGGTATACAAGAGGGTCAATAAACATTCGATACAAGTCCAATTTTTCATACGACAAATATCTCGGTGAGCAGGTGTTCATATTTGAAATCTATCATTACTGATTGCAAGGGGAATAATAAAACTTACTCGAGTATTTGGGTCTGTATGTGGGACATGTGCCACAGTATTTTCCTGTTTGGCGTTTCCTACGGCAACAATAGATTCCTACTCCTGTGAGAACACACATCCCAACAATGCCACCTGTTATTCCACCAATCAAGCCATCTAAATGAGATGTAAATCATATTTGAACTTAGTCTGAACAGTTAATGACATTGTAGTGACACAAAGCCATCGACACCATTACTTATGTCAGAACATATCTATTCTTTACTAACATTACTATTATTATTATTATTATTATTATTTTTACTATTATTATTATTATTATTACACATCATCTACAGTTTCTGTATGAATTCATGTCTTTTACATTGGTTATTTACACATGACATTTAAAACAAATATATTCTGCTGTTAAGGACTCTATGTTGACCTCTAGTTGTTATTTGTGTGCATGGGTAGCTGTATCATTGACGTATAGTCTTACTTTTTCTTTTTCTTTAAATAATCAAAGTACATGTATATAGCAGAAATAAAAGTACTCACAATTATAGTCCCATTTCGTCTCAATTTGAAACTCAAAAATGTCATTTAGTTTGTCTAGAATTACTTCCTGCGGTTTTTTGTCGTCATATCTGTTATAGCCATTTTTATCACTTTGTGATTTTTGCAGCTCAAATGAAACATGACTAGCATCGTCTAAACATTGTGAAAACATTCTGTTATTGCCATTTAACATGTATGAGTTTCCTGAACAGCCATCTCCTGATATCTTAAAAGAAGGAAAAGGGTAACCGACCGTGTTTTTAATAGAAGAAGGCCTCATTACAGTAGACAACAATTATTAAAATACATATATTTGTGAACCATAAATCGTAATTTTATTTGTTATCTGATTAAATCGTTACAAATGCGCATTGTCATTTTCAATTTTTATTGTTATTTTATAGGGATTTCTGAAGAAAGATAGTCGGTAAGATAAATTCGTTACACAGTGTGCAAGTGACCTAATACGACATATACGGGTCAATAAATGTCATATGGGGATTCGAGCCTCGCTTTCATATGAAATATCATGACCCTGTAGATATCAGACAGCACCTTTGTAACTAATTTTATAGCCGTTCATTTCAAATGACTTTTGTGACATTATTACGCACTGCTTTAAAGATTCAAAATAATTTTTCATCGATATACTATTTTTAAGTTATAGTACTTTTCCTATAATCGCCATAACAATTCCACATTCTTGTCTGTCAAAGTGAAATTGCATTAAAAATGCAGGCAGTAAATTCTGAATTTACAGTATTCAGATATTTCAGCACATGTCATTAACAATCTGAACAGTACATGTACATGCTGGTCAACTGTTGCTTTCTACCTGTAGATAGCATTACATAAACATTACCCTAAATGTGACTGAATATCGCTAGGTTTAATTAAATGTCTTTAAAAGATAGAATATTGGTCATAACGGAGAATAAAAATATCAGTACTCGTAAATGGTCTTACAATTAAAACACAGTTGATGGGTCATGTAATGATGGATTGATCGATTGTTAAACGCCACTTTCAGCACTGTTGTGCTATTTTGTGGCGGTAAGTTTTCATTGGTGGAGGAAATCGGAGTGCCCAGAGAGAACCGCCGACCTTTGGTAAGAAAACTGACAATCCTTGTCAATAAAGATTGGAGTCGAGAGCGCCTGTAACGTACGTGATTCGAACTCAAACCCCAGTGTTGACAGGCTAGTGATACAAGTGGTACTTAGAACAATTGACAAACGAGGTCCCTTGTGAAGTACTATTAATCGATATGACTAACTGCTTCACTACTATACGATTGACTTATATTATGTATTGTAATGCCTGTTTTCAAATCAACCATTTTCATTAATTTTTAATGATTTTAATAACTGATAAGTTGTATGTCTGTATCATTTAACCCATATCTTACTTTTCATCTATACTAAATATTCTCTTTTGAACAAATCTAATTTAAGTATGCTGCGATTAGCTCTTATTGCAATCAATGCATACTTTCAATTTGTTTCAATCAACTTATACTTCATGTGCACATAACACATTACTACAATTCGGAAAAGGCTAAACAGTACAACAGAATCCAGCTGAGTTTGAGAAATGTATAAAAAACATGTGAGGATATTCTAGTTTTTGATAATTTTTCATTTCTAGTTTGACATTTCTTACTGCCAACTTGACATTCTGAGTTGCAACTTGGAAGTGATACATGTATATACCGATTTGGCAGTGAGCCATGTCAAGTTGAAACTCAGAAATGTTAAGTGGAAATTCAGAAATGTTAACTTAAAAATGAGAAATGTAAACATGGAACATTTGAATGAGAAAATTTACCAGTAGAATGTCACTACCGATGTTTGGTAGTAATGTGTATTTTAATACGTAGATAAAATTTTTTAATCTTGTGACATAGATAAAGGTATTTTACAATCAGCAAAAACATTTATAAGGGGACTGATGATATCCCATCTTGCAAACAATTAGTTCACATACGGAAACATTGAATTCAAATAACGTTTCAATTATTTGAATAATAAAAGCTAAAATAGACCAAAAGATTGTGTTTTGTCGTTTAAATAAAAATCTTTTTTGTGCATGTATTTAACAGTTTTCGTTTCCAAACGCTCACTTCATAACCCACGTGGGTTTGATTAACAAAAAGGACAAAAATAAACTGAAAAACTTTAAAAAATTGAAACAAAATAGTTAATCATTTTTCCATAATTTTCAAAAGTTGAACACGAATAAGTAGCACAGTATGAGATATAGTTATATTCATGTTGTGTGGTTGGAAGTCTAGAAGACTAAGATTTGGACGACTAATAGTTTATTCAGATCTTTATGTGATGTCAAATAAGTGTATTGATATGAAACGATACAGGTAAACAATGGGAGAATTTCACACAAGATAACTCAGCCTCGCATTCAACTGTCTGGTATATTTTATCTTTACCTGTATTACTCTGTACAAGTCATCAATATATACTTATCAGTTTCTTATAACCACGATGAATACGAAAGTTCAGACAATAATACATCTAGTGTGAAACCATTACAACCGCCTAACCTTTTTGCGGAAGTGTCTGAGGATAGATAGAACAAATAAGCGAACAAATATTTTCAATACATTCATATCACAAATTTCATGTCCCTTTTTCTGCTACTATCATGCAATGTATGAAAAAAACACTGACATTTGATAGCTTATTTTCGATGCTTTTAATCAAATCTTTTTAAAATGTTGTTTCACTGTTTTAATTTCAATTATTTCACGTCTGCTTTCTTATGACTCGTGACTATACAAACTATTAAAACGTTACCATCTGTGTTGTGCCACGATTATTGACAGTAATATTTTTAGTAATAGCCTTCATTCATTCATTTCTTTTATATTTTCCGGCGTAACTAGGTAATACTTATTTTCCCTTTTTTACACTTGCTTGTTATGCGGAATGATCTTTCATAGTAACAACATAATAACCTTATTCAGATGTTATTAATGCATCCTTCCTACTTGTCAACTAGAAGGCCATTTTGGTTTACTTTCACATTTGTGTACACATGTACTATTCTTAGCGTGTATTGATTGACTTGATCCTGCAAACGTTTTCCCAAAATATAGTCAGTTTCAAATTAGAGCCCCGAGTGAACGGCTGATTTTGACAGTTTACAGTATTTTGTTATTCAGGTATTTTTGCACACACTGCAAGTTATTTAACATACATTGCAACTTATCTATATTAATTAAGAACTGTAATTAATGATATTAGCTTTTAATAAAGCTGCTTTTATTTATCTAAACAAATCTTGTTTCTAGTTTCACAAAGTTTGGACTTTCAAAACAGTTTAATACTGTGACTTTTAGAAAAGTTATTTGCATAATATCTGCCAACCATTTATAGTATCGGTTGGCGCTTCAATCCTGAATAATCATACGGTATATACTTTATTAATTAGGATACGCTCCGTTCACAAAAAACTGCTCCGACATAGTTTTGAGTTAGAACGACATGAGTCGACACTACATAAGATTTAAAGTCACTATCATGAACTGGTTTACTGATACGATGTTTTTTCTTGTCAACATACTTTTTTGCTGTTTTAGATCTTTAGATACCAGAAAGGTTGTTGTTTCTTCAATTTGGACGATTGTGTCCTTATTTCGATTGTGAAATTGACAGAATTATAAATTCGAATTACGGATTATGCTATTAAATAAGAAAAGATAACTCTTGGAAGAAAACACGTGTTGGTTTGTTTACGATGAAATAACGTGTAATTAAAGTTAAATACTAAAGGAAATAATAATTCTTCCCAGCAATTTGAATATTTCGTATGAATTAATGTTGTAAAGCCTTCAAAACACTCGATTCTCGCTTAGAAATAAGTAAACAAACCAACACGTGTTTTATTAAAAGAGTTATCTGTTCTTGTTTTTCGTAGGCGTTCCTCACCTCCAACATAGGAGATCGAGGATATTAGAGTTATCTTATATCTGTAGATACCAGAAAGGTGGTTGTTTCTTCAATTTGACCGATTGTGTCCTTTTTGTGATTGTGAAATTGACAGAATATCAATTCGAATGACGGATTATGCATGCATCAGGAGACGCTTTCCCTGTCGACACACCCGATCGCGCTCCATTCAAATGGTTTCTTTAGTTTGTTTCTCAATAGATTGACACCTTCTTGATTAAGTTGCTTTTATTTCTTTTTTACCAAATACCTTGTATAAAATGTCAATTTGATGTCAAATTTGTTAATTACTATTTGTTCAAGAAAGCATAAACAATGAAAAAGTATTTACTCAAGTGCTTATAGTATTATATTTCCCATATTCAATGAACATATATACATTTTAAAAAAAATTATTACCATCGTACATGTGTTATTCGTTTCAATGTTCCAAGTTTTAAAACTCGTTATCACATTTCAATGGTCAAAAGGGTCAGCTGATGGTAAAAAATTAAAACAACATGTATTAAATTTCATGCGTCCAAAGCGCTATTCTGGATTTACCTTCATCATGAACGCTCAATGCCAAATATTTGAAAGCCAAGGATGTATAAGAACCGAAACAGTTGAAGAGCTATACGACCAAAAAGGGACATAAGAAATAGCGAAATCCATCCAAGCCAACTTTGCCTGAGGGTGTTGAAACCTTAGTTTCTAAATAATTTCAATATATATAAACGGACAATTTTAGAAAGGTTTGTTTTTTAATCATGGCAGTACAGAAGTATTGACTACTATCTGATAATATATGCAATTTTGGCATATTCATAAAGTTTACCTTTTAAAATCTTCATTATTGGCTGAATACTATGAGGTGCAACTAAGTCTTTTCCTACACCACACAAAAATACGTATTTCGAAACTTTATCAACCGGGTATATATACATTGATATGCATAACAATTTAAATGACTATATAGATGTTGTGTAATTAGTTTTTTAACATGTGTTATTATTCGTAGGACAAAATTCAGCAAGAGTAATAACATCGAACGGTGTCAAATACACTCTTACGTTGCACCAGTTGACAAATAATGTCTCTTTATCGAAGTTTGAGTCCCGTAATAGTTGTCATGAATTTCTTGTTATGGATTAGGGAAATATATACCTTAATAATAATTGAATTCGAATGAAATATCATTGTAAATGTCATAAAACCAATATGCATATGTTCATGTCAGTATCCAATCCTGACTTAATGGACTGCTAAACTTAGATTTAAGCCTTCATAATGATATACAATTCAGAAATGCAAATCGGATCCACAAACTATATAAAGCATTAGTTTCAGTTTCTGAATTGCTGTTTAATTTGATAGATACTGTTTTCGTTCCTCTGATAATAAAAACGAATTTGGATGTTTTAAAACTATGTACAGATTTATAAGTTGACTTTGTTAAATTGAGATATAACGATAAGTGTCTTGCATCGTACAAAAGCAATGGAAACATCTTTAAGTAAAAATACTGGTCGTGTGTTATTCACTTTATAGAAAAAAACACAATTTTATAAAACAAACAAAACAAACCGAAAAAAATAAAGAATAAACTATTCTAATTCAATCAGGGAAATATCAAAACGATTAGGTTATCTGACCGGCTGATTTACTTTTATTCTGGTCATGGTAAAGATGTCTAGAGATAGATGATTGATTATCTTCTAATTGATAAATTGTTGTTAATGCTAAAATGATACTCAACCTGTACTGTGGGAAAGTGCATACAACATACGCGTCTCTTCATAAAAATATTTTGTTAAATACATTTCTCGGAAAAACGTTTCGCGAAGGAAAATTCCTAGATAGATGGTACTGGCTATGTTTCAATTTCATTTAGTGCTTTCTCACGATTCTGTATAAATACTATATCGATGATGCTGTCATTAATAATTTGTATTGGACTTGGATATGGATCAGTCATACCTGAAAATCCGGAAACAGTTGTTGAAATGCCACTTATCAGTAACGACGATGTTCCGCTGGTTGCTAAGTTAGATACCAAAAAGCTGAATAAGTCAATAAAGACATATATTGATAAAACTATGGATAAGGCTGTGATAGAAAAAATTTCGGAATTAAAATGGGATAAATGTTCTACAGTTATGATAGGTAACTATGAATATCTTTAGTCTTTTTGTATAATATAACATCGAGAAGGGGTTTGTCGAACTAGTGTTCTTTCAAATAATTTAATCATCAATCATCAAGATTCGATCAATTGTATGTTATTTGACTTGATTAAATATCTCACATCATAATTGAAAAAAAAAAATAACAATTTGTAATTGTCAAAATCTAGCGTAATAACGTAATTTGCCTGAAAGTTTTATGCAGATAACCTTTACGGTAATTATAAATAAATTAACTTGATCTGAACATTCACTTTAGTAGTCTAAGTTCCGAAAAATCCGAAAGTTCCGGAATGTGAAAATGACACAAATTAAACGCATAAAGAATTATATAATATTTGTCATATCCATAACATTAATTTGTTATCTAGCGCCATAAATTGCTGCTCAGAAATGCAAATCTGATACAACACTGCAAAACCTGTTTAAAAAAATGTACAGAGAGGCACCCCAAACCAACATAAATGACTTTTTTGTAGTTGAAAACATAATCTAACTTTACTTATAATACTAGTTTTGTTTAGATTAATTATGGCATTCTTATATAATTTTAAGTAAAATCTTAACTTTGACAAAAAACCACTGTTGCACTGTTTAGCTATCTTCATGATATAAAGGATACACATTAAGAAATGGAATATCATAATAGAGCTAAGATCTCAAGTATGTACATACAGCTGACTTATTGTGAATTTAAGTGAATGCTTAATATTATTTGCAAAACATGTGGCATTGTGAAAGGACCAACATAAACTTCCTTCATATGTAGCAATAAAGTCGATTATATAGCGTAGATATTGGATAAACCAAGAGCATAGTTGGCCTTTATCAAAAAGATTACCTTTTCTAAGCTTTGGTTTCTCAACCTTATATTGCATTTAAGGGCATACGATACAGTTACATGGGAGGTAATTACGTTGTTAACGTATATACAATTTTCGAGTGCTTTTAAGCATAAGCTTGGAAACGAGTATGTGGGCCCTCCTTTTTAAACTGACATTTGACTTAATCATGTTGATACTGTATGAAAATAATTTGTTCCAACTTTTATGAAAAAAAATCACTGATTATGTTCTTTTTAAATTAAATAAACTATGCAGCTAAAGATTTAAAATCATGGGAATAAATAAAAAATAATTACTTACCAAGAATTGTTACACAAATTCAGAGCCTTCTGTAGTAGAGAAGATATTCCTAATTTTTTTTACTAAAATCTGCATGTGTTTATCTTTTGAAACAAAAACATTTAAAGTTAAGAATGTTCTGTCCAAATGATAGAATTGTTCAAGAAACAGAAATGTTAAAAAAATTGTTTCGACCCTATTTATCTCTAAATTAAGCACATGAAGGTACACTTTTAACTACATATTTGAATTTTGAAAAAAATCACCGGTTGGCCAAAACTGTATCGTATGCCTATAAATTGAATAGAAGTAAAATTGATTTATATAGCAAACTATACATGAACTCAGATTTCCCTCAGAAATAAGAGAAAAAACGTTTTTTCCATTTTGTAATTTATATTTGTTTCTCTTGCATACTAGTCCTAAAACAAAACTTCAGATTTGAACAGATAAAGCTGATGTTAAAAACATTATTATTATTTCTTATTTCCGACTTGAACATTTTCAACAATCTTATCTTATGGGCCTTCGGTAGCCGAGTGGTCTACGTAAGGTACTGTGCGTTCGAATAAGATATAAATTGACAGTTTTCCTGCTGACCATTACTTTCACGGGTTTCAAGTGATAAAGGTTTTGTTTTTAACACTTGATAATAGATTTATTGCACTAAAGTTGTTAGCAATGACCTTACTGCTATAGCCATAACGGAAAGATACCCTGATAATATGAACATTTGTAAGAACACGGTTTCATATAGATAAGTAAATGTTCTTTTTTTTCATGTGAGAATAATACAATAAAATGTAATGTACA